CGCATGCGGGCGGTCCCATTGGGGGCTTCGGTGGAGCTCCCATGGAGCTCCCATGAAGCGTTGTAAAGGGTGAGTGAAAATGCCAAATTGGGCGTGGGGGACGCAGGCGGGCGGTCCCACTGGGGGCTTCGGTGGAGCTCCCTCTGGGGCCACGAAGCGCTGTACTGGGTGGGTGAAAAAGCCAAATTTAGCGTGGGGGACGCATGCAGGCGGCGCCACTGGAGGCTTCGATGGAGCTCCCTATGGGGTCACGAAGCGCTGTACTGGGTGCGCGAAATGCCAAATTGGGTGCGGTGGACGCATAACTATGGCTGGTCCCATTGGAAGCTTCGGTGGGGCCCCCTATGGGAAAATTCCAAATTGGATGTGGGGGGCGCATGTGGGCGGTCCCACTGGGAGCTTCGGTGGAGTTCCATATGGGGACACGAAGCGCCATACTGGGTGTGTGGAAATGACAAATTTGGCGTGGGGGACGCATGCGGGCGGTCCCACTGGGGGCTTTGCTGGAGCTCCATATGGGGCCACGAAGCGCTGTACTGGGTGGGTGAGAGTGCCAAATCGGCTGCGGGGGACGCATGCGGCCGGTCCCACTGGGGGCTTCGGTGGGGCTCCCTCTGGGGCCACGAAGCGTTGTACTGGGTGGGTGACAATGCCAAGTTGGGTGTGGGGGGCGCACGCAGGCGGTCCCAGTGGGGGCTTCGGTGGGGCTCCCTCTGGGGCCACGAAAAGGCTGTACTGGGTGTGTGAAAATGCCACATTGGGTGTGCGGGACGCATGAGGTCGGTGGCACTGGGGGCTTCGGTGGGGCTCCGTCTAGGGCCACGAAGCGCTGTACTGAGTGGAGGGACAATGTTGACATGGGTGTGGAGGGCGCGCGCGGGCGCTGGCACTGGGGCCTTCGGTGGAGTTCCCTATGGGGCCACGAAGCGTGCGAGGGGTGTGCCTAATGTGTGTGGGACGCATGCGGGCGGTGGCACTGGGGCCTTCAGTGGAGCTCCCTATGGGGCCACGAAACGTGTGAAGGGTGTGCCAAATGGGGTGTGGGGGACGCATGCGGGCGGTGGAGAGGAGGAGGGGGAGGAGGAGGAGAAGAGGAACGTGGGGACCATCTCTTCAAAACGAGGACCCAACACCACAGGATGCTTGGTAACAAAATCCCAACTTCGGCTTCCAATGGTTTTGCGTCCTTACCACCCGTCCTTAATGCACGGATTGATTGTAGACCCAGAGCCATGGAGAAGATGAAGACTAGGCGGTCACGAGCCTTCTCCCGCGGGCGCTGTGGTGTGCGCAAGCGCTGTGGTTCACGCAGGTAGCGTGGTGCACACGGGCTCTGCGTTGCACACGGCTGCTGCGGTGTACACAGGCGCTGTGTACGCAAGCGCTGTGGTGCACGCAGGCACTGTGCTGTACACAGATGCTATGTTGCACGCGGCTGCTGTGCTGTACACAGGCGTTGTGGTGTACGCAGGCGTTGTGGCGCACGCGTGTAGAATCCTCACGCGCTCCAATTCCCATGGGGATTCTTTCGAAACGTGTATATAAAACGTTCATTGTGTGTGGAACCCAGAGGTGCCCCAATTTCCAAAGGGATTTCTCGATCAAACAGAATTTTTTCTGTGGAATCCAAAGGCGCTCTGCTTTCCGTAGCGATTCCTTTTCAATTTCTACATGAAAATGGGGTTCCGTGAATCCAGAAGCGCTCTATTTTCCACACGGCTTCCTTCAATAATCCCATTAAAGAAAAACGGTCGTCTGCATAATCCTATTATAAACAACGGTTGCTGCAGTATGCACAGGCACTGCGGTGTGCATGAGCGACGTGGTGCTGCAGTGCACGCGGCTGTTGTGGTGTACGGAGGCACTGTGATGTGTACACAGGTGGCGCTATCTTGCACGCAGGCATTGGGCACTGTCGTGTACACAAGCGATTGATGCGCTGGTGGCGAGGACGCACCCCGGCGGGCGCAAGTCCCGGCCGCCGTTACCGTTACCCTCCCGCCTGACCCCCCCTCCTCCCCCCGGGTTGCGGCCATTAACCGGGAAAGAAACTTATCCTGGCGAAGGACCCAACCATATGCAGCTGTGGGCACCGCAATTGTGAAAATCTTCTTCGGTGAAACTCCCTATGGGGCTACGAAGCGCTGCACTGGGTGGGGGGGAACACTGTTCTGGGTGAGTGGTGTGTCAAGCAAAGTTTCCGGGACGCATGCGGACGGTCCTTCTGGGGGCTTCGGTGGAGCTCCCTATGGGGCCATGAAGCGCTGTACTGGGTAAATGAGAATGCCAAATTGGGTTTCCGGGACGCATGCGGACGGTCCCACTGGAGGTTTCGGTGGCAATCCTTATGGGGCCACGAAGCGCTGTACTGGGCGGGTGAAAATACCAAATTGGGCTTCCGGGACGCATGCGGACGGTCCCACTGAGGGCTCGGTGGAGGTCACTAAGAAGCCACGAAACGCTGTATCGGGTGGGTAAAAATGCAACGTTGGGTTTTCGGGACGCATGCGGACGGTGGCACTGGGGCCTTCGGTGGAGTTCCCTACGGGGCCACGAAATTTTGGACTGGGTGGGTGAAAATGCCACATTGGGTGTTTCGGGATGCTTGCGGACGGTCCCACTGGGGGCTTCGGTGGGGCTCCCTCTGGGGCCACGAAGCGTTGTACTGATTGGGTGACAATGCCAAGTTGGGTGTGGGGGACGCATGCAGGCGGTCCCAGTGGGGGCTTCGGTGGGGCTCCCTATGGGGCCACGAAACGCTGTACTGGGTGGGTGAAAACGCCACAATGGGCGTGCGGGACGCATGCGGTCGGTGGCAGTGGGGGTTTCGGTGGAGCTCCCTATGGGGCCACGAAGCGCTGCACTGGGTGGGTGAAAATGACACATTGGGTGTGCGGGACGCATGCGGACGGTGGCACTGGGGCCTTCGGTGGAGCTCCCTGTGGGGCCACGAAACGTTGTAATGGGTAAGTGAAAATGCCAGATTGAATGTTTCAGGACGCACTCGGACGGTCCCACTTGGGGCTTCGGTGGAGCTCCCTATGGGGCCACGAAGCGCTGTACTGAGTGGGGGGGACGCATATGGACGGTAGCACTGTGACCTTCGGTGGGGCTCCCTATGGGGCCACGAAGCGCTGTACTGAGTGGGGGGGAACCATGTGGACGGTGGCACTGGGGCCTTCGGTGGAGCTCCCTATCGGGCCACGAAGCGCTGTACTGAGTGGGGGGGACGCATGTGGACGGTGGCACTGGAGCCTTCGGTGGAGCTCCCTATGGGGCCACGAGCGCTGTACTGAGTGGGGGGGCGCATGTGGGCGGTGGCAATGGGGCAGGAGCTGGGGCCACGAAGCGTTGTACTGAGTGGGACGGTGGGCACTGGGGCCTTCGGTGGAGCTCCCTGTGGGCCACGAAACGCTGTATGATGTGGACGGTGGCACTGGGGCCTTCGGTGGAGCTCCCTATGGGGCCACGAAGCGCTGTACTGAGTGGGGGGGGCGCATGTGGACGGTGGCACTGGGGCCTTCGGTGGAGCTCCCTATGGGGCCACGAAACGCTGTACTGAGTGGGGGGGACGCATGTGGACGGTGGCACTGGGGCCTTCGGTGGAGCTCCCTATGGGGCCACGAAACGCTGTACTGAGTGGGGGGGGCGCATGTGGACGGTGGCACTGGGGCCTTCGGTGGAGCTCCCTATGGGGCCACGAAGCGCTGTACTGAGTGGGGGGGGCGCATGTGGACGGTGGCACTGGGGCCTTCGGTGGAGCTCCCTATGGGGCCACGAAGCGTTGTACTGAGCGGGGGGGACGCATGTGGACGGTGGCACTGGGGCCTTCGGTGGAGCTCCCTGTGGGGCTCACGAAACGCTGTACTGAGTGGGGGGGGCGCATGTGGACGGTGGCACTGGGGCCTTCGGTGGGGCTCCCTATGGGGCCACGAAGCGCTGTACTGAGTGGGGGGGACGCATGTGGACGGTGGCACTGGGGCGTTCGGTGGAGCTCCCTGTGGGGCCACGAAACGCTGTACTGAGTGGGGGGGACGCATGTGGACGGTGGCACTGGGGCCTTCGGTGGAGCTCCCTGTGGGGCTGCGAAACGCTGTACTTGGTAGGTGAAACGCAGGGAGGAAGGAGGAGGGGGAGGAGGAGAGGAGGAACGCGGGGACCGTCTCTTCAAAACGAGGACCCAACACCACAGGATGGTTGGGAAAAAACGGTCACCCGGGCGGTCGGGCCCGCCAGCACGAGCTCTGCAAGCGCATATGCCCTGCCGCCGATGGCAGATGCTCCAGGGTGGCGGCCAGTGCCCACATCCCGACGCCCCTACCACAATTACAGACCCACCATCACTCTTCCACTCCTGGGCCCGGGCGAGCGTGCGCAAAGGAATGACGCGACCGGTCCAGCACCAGCAGCAGACGGGCAGCTCAGCGCTGTCGCTCCCCACCGCGTCTGGCCGTGCACTGCACGAGCGCCCGCTGTCTGCGCGCTCCCAAGCACTGGCGCTCGCAGCGAGGCCCGTTGGCTGGTAGAGCCCGCTGCGCCAACTGTCAGCCCGATCCCCCGATCTGGCTTGGCTCTCCTGCCCCTCCGCGCGTGGAAAAAAATATATAATGATCTGCAGATCTACGGAGCACCCTGCGTACCTGTCGTGAGAGCTCGACGGACACATGAATGTTGGGCTACATAAATTCTCTGGTCGGTCCCCTGCTCGTCTCGCGGCTGCACGCACCGAGCGACAGAGATCTGGGAGCACAATGTGGGAGCTGGCGTCCCTCTTGCCCTCGGCCAGCAGGGTCAGGGTGTCGTACACATCGTCTCGACACCCAGGGGAGGCGGAGGGGGCGGGGGGCGGGAGGAGGGGGAGAGGAGGAGGAGAAAGAGGACGAGGAGGAGGAGGAGGAGGAGGAGGAAGAGGAGGAAGAGGACGAGGAGGAGGCAGAGAGGGACAAGCTTGCCATCGCTCGGACGTCCATTCCCCGTGCATGTCTCGATGTCGTACGTTTACCGCCAAGAGCAACTGCACACGCCCGAGTGATGCCAAGCAAGGCGAGGGAGGGAAGGCTGGACAAGTGCCCTGTGTGCATCCCACATGGCCGGCCGTCAACTGATGGTACACAAAACTATAGCCAGGCGCATCCGCAAATGGTAACGGCAAAACGCGGTTGCCTGGCGGTGAGCCGGAATGGACGGACCAGCAGGCACCGGATGCGACGGGCTGCGCGCCAGCGCTCCATCGGCCCTGGTGCCTGTAGACGATTGAGTGGAGACATCGAGGGGGGGGATCTGAGGATCGTGGATGGTCGAGGAGCGTCGAGGATCGAGGGGACGGCTGCGGCGTTTCTGCCGGCTTCGGCGGCCCACGCCTGCCTAGGACGTGCCGGAGGCTGGTGCCCGACGCCACAAAGAGTGTGCCATTCAACCCTGAACAATCTCCGCCCTCAGAGGTCCTCAGGGAGGATAGAGCCTTGAGTTCAGGGGAGCGGGAGAGCAGGTCCCCTGGACCTGGATCTGGGGAGCAGCCCGAAACTCAGAGCCCCCGCTGAACCCAATAAGCGGGGCTCACGTCAGCGCCCTCGCGGCAGCCGAGCCTCTGGGAGGGTGTAGGCGACAGGCGGCTGCAGTCTGCACGGGCGCGGGCCGCCCCATCACAGAGAGATCTTGGTGGAGGTGCCTTCCTTCTCGCCGCTCGAGCTGCCCGCCGCGTCGGGCGTGCCCGAGGGGGAGTCGTCGGGGTCCATGAGCTCCCCCTTGAAAGCTCTCATGAGCTTCCGCTGCGTGCGACGCCGCTGGGTCCTGGACATCTTCGTGCAGCGGTCTTCACCTTGCTGCGCGAGCTGCACGATCTTCCGCTGGGCGGCGCCTTCCTCCATCAGACGGCGCACTCCAGGCTCCTGGTCCCCGAAGCAGTTGGACCCCTCCGAGGTTGAGGTGTCGGCCGCACTCTGAGAGGTCGAGTTGGTTGAGACGCGATCGTCGGTGGGGTCCGAATTGGGGCGCCCGTCCAAGGTGACGTAGTCGATCCAGGGCGACCTGCAGTCCAGGAACGTGTTCTTGGTATTCATGCCGCTCGGCAGGGCCGCCGCGGACGTGGTAGTCATGCCGCTCGGCAACAGGCCACCGAGCCTGATGAACGTGCGGTTCGAGCCAGGGCGGCCTTGAGCCTAAATGGCTGCGGAGTTCGGGGCCTCCGGGCCCTTCTGGAGGCTACCTGGGGGCGTCTTGGAGCGCTCGTGGGCTGCCTGGAGGTATCCTGGGCGCTCTGGCAACGCTGTGGGGCGGTCTGGCACGCCTGGGGACCTCCAAACGAAAGCGTCCGGGGTGAGGGGCACCGCTGTGCAAGCGTGGTCCCAGCCCGGGGCCCTGGGCCAGGGATCATCTATATATATATATATATATATATATATATATATATGTAGATATAGATCGACCTACCTACCTATCTATCTAGGTGTATACATATAATTATACAATTATATATAAACCCGTATAGGTATATGTATATCTGCATAGCTATATATATATATATATACATACATAGCTAATTAAATACACACATATGTATGTATCGATCCATCGATCTATCTATCTATATATCGATCCATCTATCTGTTTATATATATATATATAGATCGATCTATCTATCTATCTGTACCTCTAGGGTACTTCTCGGGGGGCGTCTCGGGGCTGCTTGGGGTCCTTTGGGGGCAGCGTCAAGGATCTCTGGGCAGGTGGAAAGTGATGTTCTGCAATCTGAAACAATAAATTGGCCGTCTTGGCTGCGTGGAGGCCCTGCTTGAGGCCACATTGGGGTGATCCGGAAGCCTCCCGGGGCCTCCTTGAATTTTGATGCATCGAGAGCACTGTTCGGCTATCTTGGGGCCCTGTGCACGTCTCCTGGGAGCCTTTCGGGGCCTGGTGGGGGGCTTTGGGGGCCTTGTCGGACTACTTGGGGACTCTTGGGGCCTCCTGAGAGCCTCTTAGGGCGGAAGGCTCTGCTGTTGGGTTCGCGTTCCCCTTCTTGGAGCTCTCTTGGGGCCCTCTTGGGGCCCTGTCGGGCAGTCTTGGGCGCCTCAGGCACCGTCTTGGGGCCCTCGTGGGCTGTCTTGGGGCCCTCTTGGAGGCCTCTTCGACTATCTTGGAGCGGTCTTGGGGGCCACTTGGGCCGTTTTGGAGCGTCGGGATGCCAAAGGGCTGGGAACTGTAAAATCCATCAAAAGCCAATGGGAAAACAATGATTTGTGCATATTCGGGCCTTCTTGGGAGGCTTCTTGGAACCTCTTCGGCCTTCTGGGAGCTTCTTGAGGGCCCCTCGGGTTCTATTTGGGGGCCTCTGGAGCTTCCCGAGATCCTCTCGGGGTGGAAGGCTCAGATTTTCGGTTCGTCTTACCCCCCTTGGGCCCCCCTTAGGGGCCGTCTTGGTGCCCTCTCGGGCTGTCTTGGGCCCTGTTGGAGGCCTCTTGGGCTATCTTGGATTGGTCTTGGAGGCCTTTTGGGCCGTCTCAG